TGTTTCTACCTGCTTTCATGTATAGCATGTTATACTGCTTCTATTTTCTGTCTACTACTGTTTCACTTGCATGCTTTACATTTTGCAACTTTAAACATGTTTACTCTTTTTTACATAGGATGTTTAGGGGACTACAACCATAGGGCCGTTTGATTTATCACTATAACCGGACACCCTAGAAAGCTTAAACTCGTCATGTCTGGGAGCTTGGAGCTAGCGCGGTGGGCAGCACGACCATCTTGACCATCTTCAACAGCAGAACCAACAGCAGAACCTATCTTCCCCAGCAAAATCATTCCTTTCCTAGAAATTAAACAACAATCCATATGATTTCGAAGTTGTTTGCCTAGCACAACATAAATCCTCCACCTTTTTTTTAGACATTCATATAGCTCTGCTGTACGATTTAAGCCCTAACTCGTTCTAGGTTCCGAGGTTGTCGTCCGATACGACGTAAACCCTCATATATTCCAGGCGGTTTGTGTGGCCATGTCACGCAAATATAAGCCATAATTAAATAAAATTGGCAGGATGAAACATTTTAATAATTTCTTCTCAAAACTGGAGCCAAATCATAGGATAGACTGGGAAGTCACTGGGGTTCTCCTCAGGATCCGTGGCCTCATCTAGTTTCTCTTCATTTGGATTCCTCAACATTATTCCAGGTTCGAGCATTTCCCCTTTCACACCTCTTTGTCCGATTTCGTTGAAAAGTCCTATCCTTTTGACTTCTTTGAAGATGATATCCCCTGATTTTTATCGAGAGTTTTCTTAGGTGACTTCGGTCATTTAAGATGTAATTAACTATAGGGGTTTGCCTTATAGGAAGCTTTTCCGAACCCAGCCTAAAATAAACCCTATTTAATTTTTTGTATTAAATAGGGGAACTTGTCGGCAAATAAAACGGTTTCACAGACTAAACGGATGTCATATATTTCTTAGTTTATTTGATCGAGCCTCATCCTCAAGTTTTGTGTTTATCCCTCGGGATAGATACATGATTTGAGGTAGAGCGCTCTTTCATTTAAACTCTGAAAAATATGAGGTCAGTTTGATTTCATATTTTTCTAAATATATATATATATATATATATGTAAATTAAAACGTTCTTCCGAAGAGGGCGACCGGATTTCGATTCCGACGACCGACAGCTCCTTACGGGCGACCACCCACAAACTACACCTCCCTTCTTCTTTTTTGTTGTCGACAATGGTTTCCTACATTCCCAAGCTAATCATATGAATGTTTCTTATAATTTGTATAGACTTCGACTATTTTTATGTCTTGTTCTATCATGTCATTTGGTCGCCACTCAGCCCAAGTGCCACATTAAATATTGTTAAAAGTTGTCATCCAACAGAGCAGTTATCAATAGTCTTATGATAAAAACAATTTTTTATGTTCTATAGCCGTCTGATCCTAACGGTTCCTAGAGTTTTGTCTCCATCTGAATACCAAAAGTTTGGAATCCCATCATTCTTTATCTTGTATTAATGTAATAGCCTACTTATAATATCACTCATGACATTTTTTAAATCATAATTCTAATTACAAGCATTAATCTTAGATATTTCATATGTCATGTGGATGAATCATAGTAAATGAATACCAACAAACAATGATTTCATAAGGTTATTCATCATATTTATAATATAGTAAAATCTTGTATTTTAAGGAACAAATCAAATTTACTTTCTTACAATTTATCCAGGTATTCATTCATAATATACATAAACTTTTAGATATAATGGTGTCAAACACAATCACATGAAAATCAATAGAGTAGTTTTCTTAAGTTAACACACGATCATTTCACCTGAATCGACGGAACAACCCTATGTCGAGTTTTCTCAAGCTCAGTTTGAGCTCGCCGCCTAGCGTAAACATTCTGAAATCATGATTCTCTCAAAATTTCATAAAATTCTCACCGTCGGTCTTAACTTAACTCTGAGCATATTTCATTTGCTAAAACTAAACTTATACAGGCTTCCTTTCATAAATTCTCCTTAAAAGCTTTTCTATTTCTTTCTTTCTTCTTTACACTTCTCTTCGCTCATTTCCCGCCTCTCACAACAATGACATGGAGTGAAAAAGTGCACCAATTTGTTGCAAACGTCAAAACTGAAGCGTAAGAAAGAAAACAAATGCCTGCAACATCATAAAAATGGTGTTCCCTACCTATTTCAATCAGAGCTCAGTATCACCACTTGCGGATCCCTGCGAGATGCACCAGTTGTGCCTACTACAGTGCCTGAGCGAAGCTTCTCGTGTGAGGGAGAATTCAGACAAGAGAAGTGAGGACGCGACATTTAATGAGATCTCATTGGATCTCAACTGTTTGAACCATCCCACGACTGAAAATCACGTAGGAATGGCAATGGCTACAACAATGACACGGAATTAATGTTTAATTAAGGCCATATTTAAGTTTGATTAAACTTTTGTTTCATAATTTTATATCTTCTCATACTTCAAAAATTCAAGCATGGTGCTATATATCAAATTGATAAATTCAATCTATAGAATTTTATAAAATTGACTGAGTTGAATTATGAAGGATGCAAAATTTAAGGTATGCCTTAAAATTGCTAAAATTTGGGTGTTGCAACTACCCTCTTAAAGCACTCTTTAGAGGAATATCTTTGTTTGACGTTCACAAGAATGAGCTTATTTGAGATGTGAAAGTGGAGCAGCGTGAGAGATATCTGTTTCACCCTGAATGGCTAGTATACCTATTGTTTCTACTGAATATTAAAATGTTCAAGGGATTAATACTTGATGCTTTGAGCTTTATTTATCCATTTGAGAGAGATATCTAAGGAGATATAGGGGTATGATGCGGAGGGAGAAAGAGAGAAGAGTGTCAAGTGGGAAGAAGCTTAAGTAAAGTATCACCTAAGCTTCATTTTTTATATAATCCATTGAAGTGAGAGAAGCTGAAGTAAATAGTGTAACATGAGCGTTCCATTTTACTTTCCTGCTTGATTTAACCTCTGATGTATCTATTGAGAGTGAGGGTATATACAAAGTCTATAGGGATAATGTTTGGAGTTCTAGAGAGAGGAATTGGACATGTTAAATTTGAGTTTTGTTCCCATAGTAGTGTTCATGCTTTTTAATGACTTGTAACATCATTCTTTATGTTAATTGTTTTTCGAATCTTATTATCTTTGAGCCTAAGTTCATCCTCAACATCTTATGAGTAGTTAGTGTATCATGTAATTGTTCACAAAATAACCACTGAACTTGGTTGGTTCGCTAAATCTGATTCAGCAAAGTATCCAGTCAGTAATAAAAACGGTGCTAGTTTTGAAAGCTTTCAAGTAATAGAATAAGGATTACTTTGTACCAAATAAGTAAAGGAAAGATTGATAAAACATATGATGAATTTTCCATTTTCTTTGTTTAGTTAGAAGCTTTCTAACCCTTTTTCTCTGTATGTAAAATAGAAGTTGTTTTAAGAATTTTCATTTATCTATATAAAATCACAATTTTTGAACTTTAACCTGATAGAAATAATTTTCATGTTACGTTTGATCATTTTAAAAATATTAAAATGGTTATATTTGATGGGGCTTTCGCTTTTTAAGGAGACAAGGGCTCTTGCTTTTTAAGGAGAAAAGGACAGCAGAGTTATTGCTTCATACATATTCTCATTTTAAAGTGGTCTTTTGGGGTTTTTAATACATTCGAATATAGAATTTGTAGTTTAGATGATGCTGTTTTTCTTGCTGCATGGTTGTTTGATTGCTATATTAATACTTCACAATATTTATGGACTCGGTTGTCTTTGTCGAAATAATTGGTATTTGTTCAGCTATCGTTCAGTTTCTTGCTGCGTACTTTTGACTAGGTTATGAGAAGAATCAGAGCAGAGATGAAAGAGTATCAGTTGGAAAGCATCTTTCTGCATCACATCTACATGTATGGTGGTTGTAGGCACTGTTCGTATACATGTATTTGTGCCACAGGTGAAAACAGGTGAGAACATGTTCCTGTAAATGTTACAAAACTGAGAATTTTTTAAATTGATCTTTTTATCTCCTTGGTGGCCATGATGTCTCATTTTGGCTAATTATAGTAGCCCGTCAATGTGGTTCAAACAGACTTAAGTGCATAATGTTAAAATCAGATATAAGTAATGAAACTTCTTGGGAGTTTCATAGTAATTTGGCTGTTTGGTTAGTGTATGTACATCTTCTTCATTGGTTGATTCTGATTGAAACGTTAACCTCTTCGTTTTAGTTGAAACGCTTCTTGATGCTAATGTTATGGTGTCTTGGCTGATAACTAAAGCTGTTCATTTATGATTCATTGCTGAAAGAAACATTAGCTATGTTCTTTTGTCACGTTTTTTGTTTTCTTTTTGTGTTTGGATCTTATAAACTGTTTAAGGCTTATGCTAATTGAAATCTTATGGACATCTTATTTATTCTATTGTTTTGCTCGTTGTGCAGTGCTGTTCTTCACTATGGTCATGCAGCTGCTCCAAACGACCGGGTGTGCTTCTTGATTATCCTGGTTTCTTTTCTTCTAAGTCGATAAAAAGCTATTATTCTCTCCCTCTTTTTTTTTTCTAATTGATTTTATGATTCTTCCCCTTGTGTACTTGCTGAAAATGTGATAGAGCAGATATATTATTTCCTCACTCTTTTAGTTTGTAAGAAAGTCCTTTCTTTCTTTAAAGGCATTGGTGGTTATTTGTGGTGGGGTTGGGGTGGAGGAGAGAGGGTTCAATATATGGTGGGAAGTTTAATATTACTTGAAAGTACCTTATTTAGGTCGTATCACTTACAATTTTGGAACATTTGGAGCTGCGTATTGGAAGTTTGAAATTTTATATATATTTCTCGTCAATACCATGCCTCGCGATGCAAGATTATAATATTTTCTATGGATTACATCTTCCCAGTGCATTTTTATTTCTCTATGGGAAGCTTATATGAACTCATTCGTATGGTAGCAACCTAAAGTTTTTTTTTTTTTTTTTAAATAATGAACCCAGTTTAAGTTTTATATTATTTAAACTGTATGAAGTGGTAAATTCCTTGCATTTTTTTATACTTAAATCATATCGGTCTTCATATCTGCTTAAACCTGTTATTTTTGGCACTTGATTTTAAGTGGGTTCAAATCCTGAATGACAATGGTGTTGTTCCTAGGTCGACAAAGGACTGAATTAACCATGATATTTTTTTTTCTCTGCTTATTACATTTGATCTTCTCTCATTGTTGCCAACTAAGGCAACTCTAACATTAAGATGTTGATCTTGGATAAGGTCCTATTTATCCATGAGTTCTTTGAAAACGCTATGGATTGTCACCAACATGGATGCCATGTGGTTGAGGTTTGCCTTAGTTGGCTTCTTCTCACCTGTATCCGGCGACATGTGGTGCTCCGGATGTATTCTTCTCCGAAGTGGTGCTGTATCCTCTTCTATTCCCTTCCTTTCCTGTCCCTAGCCGCTGGCTAGCATTCCTTTTCCTCGTCCAACCTTCAACAGCCAGCTGCCTCTGCTTGCCTACCTAACTGCTGGCCTGTACCTCTTTTTACCTTGGGCCTGCACTTCTCCCTATACCAACCCAGCCACCAGTCAGGCCGCTAGCTACCCTATCATAACTGCCCAACTGCAGCCCCTCCCTACGGTTCCAACCTACCTGGACAACAACCAACTTAGTCTTTCCCGTATCCCCTACTCCATGCCATCGGTCACCATAACCCCCACCATCCCACCACATATTCTACAACCCCCTACCATTGCAACTCCCAACCACCTTTGCAGACGCCACCGTTGCCCTTGGATCTTCTCATCCGACATTAGCCAGGGATTAGTGTTTGTTGTAATTTCAATTCTGTTTGAGTCATTTTTGTAACTCTAATCATTTGTTTAATGAAATTTGCTTTTGTTACTGAGGATTTGATTAGTTCCAGTATCACCTAAGGAACAACTTTTGAATGATTGATTGAAAAACTTGCCAAAAGCTCTTAAAAGGATTAAATCCAAAACAATTAAAAATGATGCAGAGTGTAAAATAGTGTTTTTTTAGGTAGTGGAAAAATTACTACGAAGCCAAATTTTTGCCTTTATGGAACCAATTTGCTTTCTAAGAAACTATTCTTGGAATGAATATATATCTCAAAACATTTCTAAATTAATATGTTAAACCTAATAGTATATTTACTTGAAAAGACCCAAATGCAAGTTTGACATTACTTAAAAATTCAATGATTTGCTTAGGGCTCCTAAGGATAAGGTGTCTGTTTTGGTTTTACTTTTTACTTTTTCGTAGTTTATCCAAAAATTTGTTTTCTTAGTTTATATATCCCGGTGCTTTGTATTTTCTTCAAGGTTCAATTAATTGAAAAAGTTAACTACTTGATGTGCATGGGGTTCATTTTTACCTGCCCTGCCTTGTCATTTAGTTATCTTTATGCAGCATATTTGGAACAAATTTTGTTAAAAACTGATGATGAATTGGTTGAATGGTGATGTTTGGCCACTCACATCAGCATTTATGATTCTAGTTAGAGGGTTTTGGGAAGTATGTGACGAACATGTTCTTTATTTTAGCATGCTCACTCTTTCTTTATGTTATTTTGTTTCTCCTTCTAATTTATATGCATGTTCTTTTCAACACTTGTATAGTTCAAATTGTTATCCAATGATTCTGCTAACAACTAGTTATTCTTGTCTTTTGGTCCTTCATTTAGAATTGGAAACTGGTGTGTATTTGTATTTCTGACTAATGATTTGAGGTGTTGGAAAAGGATATATCATTTGCATTAACTTATTTATTTTCTAAATGGGAAGATGTTTTTCCTTATATTTTATAACTGATGTAAATTTTATTTTGGTGTTTGGTTTTTCTGTTTGAGTATGAATTCTCATGGCTGAATCATAAGCCGCTAAAGTTTTCACACTGCTGTAATGAGCAACAGGCGCTTGCATTCTTATAAATATAACTTTTGTTATCCCTTTTACCATTTTCTTTTGCAGGCATTGAAAGAAGGAGACATGGCTTTGTTTGACATGGGATCTGAATATCACTTCTATGGGTCTGATATAACATGTTCTTTCCCCGTGAGTATAGTTAATATCTCTATTATTTTGGATATCCTTACTGAATGTTGCAGAAGGGTTCGGCCTTAGATTATATGATTATCCATTTGTTGATTGTGATTACATCCATAGCATATTTTGGTTTCATAATTTGGGGAATGCTTTTCCAAAGCTTGTAATTTAGTGCCAAACCTATATTTTATGCTACTTATAAGTCAACTAATGATCAAGGATTAATCTTATTTCTGCTGCAATATTTGGCGTCTCATTTTCAGCTGTTTAAGCTGAGAAGGCCAAAGGATCCCTTTTGGGCAAACTGCTTTTGTAGCATGGGTTGAAAATTTCATTTGTTTTTTTCTTTTTTCAAAAGAAAGCAAGATATTTTAAGTTGGTCCTTGAGAGAATTCCGACTTCAGAGATTGTGGAATGATTGTAATTCTAGAAATTTTATTTTCTATGAAAAACTCAACTCAAATGGGATATTATTTATCACGTGAATCATGGGCATTTTTTATGCTTAGAAATAATGTTGTTGAAGATGTTGATCTAACGACTTCAATATTAATTTTGTAGTTGTGTGATTGTCACACTGGCTTTGATAGCAATGTTGTTTCGCCATTGTTGGAGAGCAAGGAATGCTAAGGGCCATAATAAAGCATTAGCTCGTATTTATTGTTATGTGGTTCACCACTGTTGGAAAGCATGGAATGCTAAGAACCATGGAGAATCATATGGAACCTTTACTATTTTGGCAACCACCATCCTTGAGTTGCTCACATTGACGTACTGTTGTCATTTACAGGAGCATTGGGACACTGGCCAACTGATTACGAGAAATCGTTATATCATGTCTTAACCTATGTTCAATTATGCTTTCCCATAATTTTAAAGTATAACCCATCAACTTAATTCCCCTGTAATTTCAACACTCTTTGCATCCCCTTTATTCTTAAAAATGGGGACCAAAATACTCTTCCTCCACTTCTCGGGCATCTTTTTAGTTTTTAAAATAATATTAAAGTGTTTAGTAGGCCAAGAAGCTCCCAAATCTTTTTAATATTTTAACACTTAAATACTGATCTTCCACCCTTGTTTTTAGTTAAAGCTCCTCAACTTCTTTTTCCCTAATGTGACGATATAGCTAAAACGTTTTATAATTATTAACGATATTAAGATTGCTAAGATAAATCTTATTTCCAAAAAATTCATTGGAAAGTTTATCAAACCAATGTTGAATATCTTTTTAAATATTAACGCGATTTCAAGTCTAATGGTTGCCACCCCATAATTGATCTTAAGCGGCTGGGAAATTGTCAGGAAGATGAAAAGCTCCCATGTCCATCTCCATCCTCTACTAAAGTAAGGTTTAGCAATCCAATTATGACCACATTGGCGGGGAACTACAGTGGGCTATTTGGAGGCCGATGTTGGGTGTCGATAGGCTCTTGAATGTTGCCTGATAGTGTTTAGCAATGCGGCTTGCGGCTTGTAGTGATACTTTATTGCAGAGGGACTGTGTGATGACTTGGATTATTTCTTACTGTATCAAACAATTGCCACTCGTTGTAAAACATGTTTATGATTTTGACGGCTTAATTAGGCAACCAGTGGCTTATGACATATTCAAGATCATAAATCAACGACTTAAGGAGTGTAGTAATTATAGGTTTTATGACTTTTTATGGTTCAAGAATGTAAGAAAGTTGGAACTTGAATAACTATATAAGAAAAAAATGAAAGATTTTTGTGAATGTTAAGTTTTATACTTCATTTTGGGACTTTGTCCTTAATCAACTATGAGATTTAATTCCTTTCAACAGAGTTGATTAATTGAGGACAATTTTTCTCCAAATTTTATCTATGCCAGCATAATTTTTAAATTCAAGATCACACTTTTGATTGTGATCTAAAATATGAAATTACTGTGAATGATGTTTCATTAAATTTATAATAATTTAACTATTCATGGAGCAAGTAAAAAAATGAGAATGATCAGATGACATATAAAAGCCTTCTTAAAATTCAAGTTTAGTTTTTGTATTCTACGAATCAAAATAATCCAATATGCGCTGAATATCATCATAAACTCGTTTATTTAACGCCAACCCTTTCAAAGTTTATACACATTGAATTTATAATTACCATCTCAATCAAAGAAAGCAATTCATTGAGTAAAATCTGAAGCGTTTGATTGATTTAATTATCTGGAAATGCCTAAAAGTCACAGATGATTCTAGTTTTAATGATTATTCAAGAGAATGCATAGTTTTGACCATGCATTTGAAGAACATGACATTAAGTTTAAGTGGCTGGAGGATGACTGTTCTCTTCTGGGAAGTGTGTGTGTGTGTGTTATCTGTGCATGTGTACACGTGTGTGCATGCGTGCGTGTGTAGACATGCGTCCGTCTGTCCGTCTGTCTCGTTCATATATATATATATATATATATTTGATTTGATGAGTAGCATTCATATATATATATTCACCTATTGTGATCTATTGTCTTTGAGAACTTATTTTGCAGAGATTCTTGAAGTTTTTATGCTTTGATGATAGAGCTTTACTTGAATTTTACTAATCTTAAAAGAAAAAAATGAAAATAATTCATTTTTAATCGTGCTTCTTGTTACCATCTTAAATGTTACAGCTTTTTCTTATTTAACTTCTTTCTGTTCAGGTTAGTGGACAATTCACAAATGACCAGGCTGCAGTATACAATGTATGTTTTGGATATACATAGATGCATGCATGCATATTTAGAAAGTTTCGTGAATCACTTAATGAATGATGGCATATGCAGGCTGTCTTAGGGGCTCATGATTCAGTAATAAAATCAATGTCTCCTGGAGTGAGTTGGATTGTCATGCACAAGTAAGGATTTTTGCTTTTTCTTTTTAGACAGAAAAAATAAAATTACTGTTGAGCATGAACCATTTTTAATTGTTTATTCTTAGAATGATTAGCTGCATTTTATTTGAGTTTTTTTAAACTTTGTGATTGGATGTTGGTAATATGTTATTGCGTTTTTATCACCTTATGTTTCTTAGGTTTTAGAAATTTGCCTAATATGAATGCTGATTGCTTGGTTCAGACATGACTGTTCCTTAATCTAATAATGGCCTGTTCTGTGGAACTTGTAGCAAGTAGAAATTGTTGGCTCTTTCTAATTTTTAAGAGAATTTGAGTTTTTTGCTCATTAATTTTTTTTTATGATTTTAAAACATATGGTAATCAATATGGATGCCTTGTAAGTGCCCAACCTTTTCCATTCTGTGGTGTATTTTTAATTTTAGGAACATACATGACCTTTTGCTCCAAATAGTTTTTTATGTCACAAGATGCGCCATGTTATCCTATGATTAAGAAGTTTTTAGAAGGCAATATTGGGAACCGAGGCATTTTGCTCTGGCAAGACATACGCTTAATAAAAATTGATAAAATTAAAAATAAATAAGAAATATTATATAAATCATTGAAATTGTTATTTAGTTTGTTATCATAAAGAAAAAAATCACAATTCATAATATTAAATGTTGATATAAAATATAAGTTGAAATATAATTATAGGTAAACCTTTACTTAAAATTTAAATATTCAATTAGGTTCAAGATCCATTGTGTACTCATCATTGCCTTCATCATTTTCAAGAGAATCATCAGATTTATTATCATCTAATTTTATTTCATTTGCAACTTTAAAATGCTCATCATTTATTAGCATTTTTTTCTTACTATCTGTTAATATGAAATCCAATCAATTGTAAAACAAAAATAAAATTAATTACATGATCAAATAATTATACTTAAATTATCTTTTAATCTTTTTGTGGCATTGTATCAGATATATTAAATATAATATAATATTGTATAATATAATATCATATAATATACTATATTTTAGTGATAAAATATTATATGCATTTTTTTGTAGCTTGATCGAGGTGTACGCCTCAGTCGAAGAACATGCAAGCCTCATTGGTGACACCGAGTCTTATATCTCGAGGGTTTTTTTTCTGCGCCTCAGCATAAGAGCCTTTTGAAACAATAGCTATGAATATGTCTGTTTTTCTCAAGAAGCCAATATTCTTTCGAGAAAAAAGATTCTTTACTCATACAATGTTCTGAGGGAATTTTAACAGCTTTTGAAGCTAGGAAACAAAATCACGGAAGAAAAGACTTTTGAATCCATACTGCAGACATAGGATCACTCAATCATGAATTTCACTCTTTTGCTACTCAAAGCAGTTCTTAAACAACAATAGAATAGGCGAACAAGATATCTTCTAACTTCATGTAGGTTTCTGCTCATGATCATTATCGTTTACATTCTTGGCTTCAGGTGAAGGTGGCACCGCTATTTTTGTTGCTTTCAGAATGAAAATTTTAGGGAACTTTGTAACACAAGGCTTGTGTTCTAATATATTATTTTAAACTCTAGCTATCGAGACTCAAGGGTGAGGTTCTTATCTTAATTGGTGATCTTCGTATCATTGTTTGCATAGCATCCTTGATGCGGATGTGAAGGCTGGATCGACTTTGGGAAAGATCTGCGGCCAATTGGACCAGTCCAGTTGGAAACAGACAGAGTCAACTGGCCTCCTTGGGGTTGGGAGTTTCCACCCAAAAGGAGTGGGCCACTCCTTTTCACCTAATAGTATTTATATGTTATTTTGTGTGTTCTATGTCAGTTTTGCTTTTAGATTTCTGTCAGGACAGCCGCCGACGTCAAGGTTTCCCTTTAAGGGCTTTATTCGAAGACGAGATGCTACAGTTGTAACTCGTTTGAGGTGGTGTTTATTTGTCCCAACCAGCTCCTTGTTTTTCCATCTAGCACCGCAGGTTTCCCCCTCCAACTGCAAATTCCCCTCCATCCTTAAGCTTTCCCATCCAACTACAAGTTTCCCCATCTAGTCGCAGTCTGTTCCTAGTCTCCCTCCTTCAAGCCGACTACCAGCTCCCCCTTCCAACCACGTGTTTCTCCTAACCTTCCAACCCACATGTTTTCTCCAACTTGTCGGCCACTCTCCATCCTATACAATTGCAACTCAATGCCTGTTTTCCCTTTTCACCTTAACACCTGCTTCTTCCCTACTGCTGTCGTCTCCATCTGCATGCCCACCTCGTTGTACCTACCTCAACCGTTGCTTCACCACCCCTCTCACCACCCTTCCAGTTGCCAGTTTACCATCAATTCATTCGGAATACAACTGTTGCCATATATGTGTTGTGTTTTTTATTGTATTTTCTTTTCTTTGTGAACTTATTGTCGCTTATTTTCTTCGAGTAAAAATATTTGCATTTTTTGTTGTGGCTTGGCTCAACTCCGGTATCATTTTGTAGTAGAGCTAGCCTAACTGTAGTCCTGTCCTTGGGTTTCTAACATTTGTCATATCCAAACCTATCTCCACCTACCCCCAAATTTTTTTCTTTCCCCACCCTACACATTTTCCATCTATCCACCCCTGAACCCTAATCATGCCGCCGAGAAAGCAATTGTCGAAACCTGAGTAGGTTACCATGGGCAACATACAATGGATACTCCACCAAGTGCTACAAAGGCTCGAGGCCTTTGAGGAAAGGACCATGTGCGAGGTCAACGACCATAATAGTGAGGTTCGGGGAGGAGGGCCAGAAGAATACTTGAACCCCCTTTATGGGAATGACTTCAATGAAGAGGAGAATCAACAAGGGTTTTAGAATTTAGTATTAGAGGAGACCAAGAGAGGAGGTGCTGGCTAAAAGTCTCATAAATCTGGGAGTTCAAGTGGACCGAACGAACTTCGATGGGAGGATGAATTGCGATGATTTCCTTGAATAGATGCAGACGGTTGAGTGCATCTTCGAGTACAAGTATGTGCTGGATGACTGAAGAGTGAAACTAGTTGCCATCAAGCTGATGAAGTATACTTCATTGTGGTGGGAGAACCTGAAGAGAGGAAGATAGAAGGAAGGGCGGGACAAAATCATTTATTAAGTGATGAAGAAGGCGCTGCAGTGACAGTACCTACCCCCACATTAGTGTTAAGATATTTTCATAAAAATTCACTACTTGCTACAGAAGGAGCGATCCGTGGAGGAATAAAAGACAAAATTCATGCAACTCATATTAAAATGTGAACTAAAAGGGGCAGAGGAGCTTTCCATAGCCTGGTATTTGGGGGGCCTGAAGCCCGCCATCAGTAATGTAGTCCAACTGCAAACCTATTGCACACGGACAGCCGTGCAAACCTTAGCGTTAAAAGTGAAATGACAACAGAAGAAGCAGATGTACTTGGCTAACTTTAGACAACCCTTTTTGTTTGAGGCTCCAATAAGAATACACTTGGAGGAGTTGGTAGAATTGGACAGGGAATTGACAAGGCTAATCAGTGCGGGAAGAAGTCGGAGAAGAGTAGTACACCCGATACGATTCTAGCCCGAAAATGTTTCTGAGTCCTTGGATATGATCATGTCACCTCTAGCTGCCCGACGAGTAGAGTAGTGTTCCTTACCAAGCAGAGTGTCGTGAAGGAAGTGAGTGATGAAGAAACAACAGAGGATTAAGGGGAAGAATACCAGCTCCTGGGGGATGAAGGGGCAATGCTAATGGTATGAAGAATTTTGTAGATGAAACCATTGAGAAATCACTCGTGGTTTGGGTGCAATATCTTCCGCACTAGGTGTACAGTGAGAGTGAAAGTTTGCAGTCTCATTATTTATGGAGGAAACTGTGAGAATGTGGTCTTTGTTTTCATGGTGAAGACGTTAGATTTGACTACACAAAAATACTCCCAACCCTATTCTCTAACGTGGTTGAAGGGAATGAGATAGCAATGCTTACTAGAGTTTTCATTGTCGATCAACCACAGGACCAGATGTGATATGATGTCGTGCCCATGGATGTCTGCAACATCTTTTTGGGGAGACCGTGACAGTTCGATAGCAAGACACAACACAATGAGTTCAAGTACACTTACACGTTCATGGAGGAGGGGAGACCCATCGTTCTGTTGCCCATCAAGAATTTTCGAGGAGCAACTACACTGGTAGGTAGGGGTGTAAACGAACCGAACACGAACGAACAAAGCTTGTGTTCGTGTTCGGTTCGTTTGAAATTTAGTTTGTTTGAAATAAGCTCGTGTTCGAAATTGTTCGTGAAGTCACTG